TACATCTTGATTTAAGGGACAGCTACTGTGCCAAGCACATAATACATGGCTATCAAGAACCCCACTGATTGCTAATAATTTAATTCCTATAACAGACTAGGAAAAACCTTATTACCTGGCAGCTGGTATTCAATCACTCTTCCCCAAAATAAATAGCCAATTGGGCCAGTAATGATAAAAAACTAGACAGCAACGGCCTCAATTTCGTGTTTAAAAATGTAATATGCTGGGTTAACACTGGCCCTTTCCATGGTAATCCTCCTCAATAGCTATTTCTTGTTCTCACAGAATGCCCATTCAGGTAAACAATATTGTTACATTTATTTAAAACCTGACTTGTGGGCTGAGAAGTTTTAGTGCTTTGGGGCATAAAACACAATAAGGAGCATTCAGCGTGTGCATGGGTGGCTTGTAAAGAAACAAAGCCGTTGAGTTCTTTATTGCTTATTTTTTAAATAGCAAACAAACCCAGAAGCAAAACAGGCTAAGAAAACTCATTATCCTAAATTCTTCTCGTTTTACTCCTGTATCAGTTATTTAACCTATTTGCTTTGCATTTCAGGATAAAAAATATTTGTGTTCACTGGGCTCTTATTTAACAGGATATTCAGAGGTATTCTTGGAGCTGCAAGCGGCAACTGACTGAATTGCTAGATTAATCAGGGTACGTTTCAGTCTTCCAGTGTGAGCCCTGTTGAAATGAATTGGAGTTGCACCATAGAGGTGAACTTTTTGGATGATACTTCTGTAGCCAGGAACATAGTTTTTCAATAAATTTCAGCCATGAGCTACATGCCCAGGGCACCCTAATCTGTGGCTGGGTTTTGATGCAGTTGAGCAGAGCAATTAGAAAAGCAAGGTATACAGATACTGTCCAAGGCCTTTTAAAAATTGCTGTTTTGTTTCAGACACAGCAGCACTACAGGAAGATATAGACGAAGGAGAGGAACAGAGACAATATGGACAATATGCATGGCAATGCAAGTCACAGATAAATAAGATATCTAAGGATTCATAAACAAACAGTCCATCATCTCTAATGTGTGTGTAAATTTTAATTGGTAAGGGCCCGGAGAGAACACAAAGGATGCACCGTTGGTGTGTTACTGAAACATACTCTCTAACATTCCTCTCGTGAGAATCAGGATATGAGAGCAGGGCACCAAAATGTGTGGTGCCACATTCTCGCCTAAGTTTGCTGATTTGCACAAGAGTGTGGCACCACTTCAAGAGCCAGACCAGCTAGCTATAAGCAACGGCTCGTCCCCGGGACTTTCCAGGATCAAATCAGAAGCTGTGTGGCTTCTACAATTCTGGGAATGTCCTGTTAAAATAGGGATGGTTGAAGGGTATGTTGTAATAGGGAACAACAGCAACATTTGGGAAGATGGTTCATCCTTCCAATAATGAGTGATAGCTTTTCATTCATGAAATTTCATTAAAATACCATCAATTGCTACTAGTCATGAAGCCTGAATGCTGCATCCCAGATCACCGCATCACAACACTTCCAACAAGAAATACACAACAGTTTTTGATGTTATATAAAGCCTTCTTCTGAAGCAATCCTAGGTGGTCATTTAATGCATCCTGAACAACCTCTGGGTTTGTACGGTATTCAGGATGTGGTAAATATCAGGTATTTTCTTTATTGTCCTTCTTTCTCATGCCCAGTTCATATCCAGAAAAACCAGGGAAGTTACCAACACCCATAATCTATTTTATTTTTATTTTATTTCCCCCTCTGCATCTTTAACAGATAAAACAGAAATGGCCTGCCAGATGTTGTTGGTCTACAACCTCCAGTTGGAGCCCAACTATATTAGGAGGGTCATGGGTTCCCCACCCTTGAGCTAAACCATAGTTCAAGAGTTCAACTTCTGTCGTTTCACGATTTTGCACTCCAATAAAAAGCCCTTCTGACTTTTGGTGTTTTTGATTAATTCTGGTAAGACGCTTCTGTACTGTGGTGGCTTACAATTTCTCCTGTTAACTTCTAGACTGTGGCGTAATGTCCCAAGACCTTCAGAGCTGTTTCCTTATCTGGAGCCATGAAGGTGGCCTGAAGAAAGAGGTGGAGAATGGCTCCTCTGAGGACTTGTCTTCTGTGGGCAGGATGGAAGGAGTTAACCCAACTATTATTTCTTTTCTATCTCTAGCCCCCTTAATTCTGGGATTAAGGATTCCTTTGGTTATGGGCCTCACAGTTATATAAAAATATTGTCCTTTCAGCTTACAGTTTATGATGTCCTTGAAGTCAAGTCTTGCAAACAGGATTTCTCTTTAAATTAGAAATACAGTAAAGGGATGGAGAAACTGCCTTCTTGTGTGCTCCAAACCACAGCCAAAATAAATAACCAATGGAAGATTTTTATATGCAAAAGACCCTCAAGGACTTAAATAGGTACTTTCTTCGATGCCTAATATTTAGCTTAATCCCTTTTTATGTTGCCATTAGCTGCTACACTTTTATTGAATGTGTTTTATAAGAATACACTTTTTGTATAGAATGCTCAGCAATACTTTCCAATTGCCACATGAAAGCCCTAACCATAAGAAGGGGAGAATGGTTGAATTGTTGATGGAGGCTGGTTGTCTATATGGAATGGCTGCCCAACAGCTGATGGACAGAGCTTGTTTCTTTCATTCATCTTAAACTGGAGTCAGTTTTAAGTAGATTGGTCTGAAAATAAGTGGCACAGATTTGTGGACACACATCCAATTATAGCTCTGTGCAGACATAAACTCCCTCCTCACTCTTTCAATGTGGGGAGGGTTGTACCAGCTGGTCCTGCCCCCCACCCTTGGGTTGTTCAACCTCCTCATGTTGGAGATCACGTTTGTACTGGGGGCCATGTACGAAGGTGGAAGATGATGAGAAAAACCTCAAATCTCAGAAAAAGTGTCAGAAAAGCTAGAGATCCCAAGAAAGGTAAATAATGGCCAGAAAAAGCCAAAGTCCCAGAAAAGGTGAAAAACAATCAGAAACTCCCTAAAACCCACAAATAGTGAAAAATTGTCAGAAATACCATAAAGTCCTAGAAATGGTGAAAAATGGCCAGAAAGACCGAGAGTCCAAAAAATGTGGAGGATGGTACATGAAAGGAGATTCTGACAAAACATTAGGAAGAACTGCCTGGCAGTAAGAGTGGTTTGACAGCGGAAAGGACGTCCTCGGAAGGTGGTGAACTCTCCAGTCCTTCCTTTGAGGTTTTTAAACAGAAGTGGGAAGGCCGTCTGTCATGAATGCCTTGGTTGAAATTCTTGCATTGCAGGAGCTTGGACTAGATGACGCTCAGGGTCCCTTCCAGCTCTGTTGTTGTTTAGTCATTTAGTCATGTCCGACTCTTCGTGACCCCATGGACCAGAGCACGCCAGGCACTCCTGTCTTCCACTGCCTCCCGCAGTTTGGTCAAACTCATGTTGGTAGCTTCAAGAACACTATCCAACCATCTCGTCCTCTATCGTCCCCTTCTCCTTGTGCCCTCCATCTTTCCCAACATCAGGGTCTTTTCCAGGGAGTCTTCTCTTCTCATGAAGAGGTGGCCAAAGTATTGGAGACTCAGCTTCAGGATCTGTCCTTCCAGTGAGCATTCAGGGCTGATTTCCTTAAGAATGGATAGGTTTGATCCTTTTGCAGTCCACGGGACTCTCAAGAGTCTCCTCCAGCACCATAATTCAAAAGCATCAATTCATCGGCGATCAGCCTTCTTTATGGTCCAGCTCTCACTTCCATACATCACTACTGGGAAAACCATAGCTTTTACTATACGGACCTTTGTTGGCAAGGTGATGTCTCTACTTTTTAAGATGCTGTCTAGGTTTGTCATTGCTTTTCTCCCAAGGAGCAGGCATCTTTTAATTTTGTGGCTGCTGTCACTATCTGCAGTGATAATGGAGCCCAAGAAAGTAAAATCTCTCACTGCCTCCATTTCTTCCCCTTCTATTTGACAGGAGGTGATGGGCCCAGTGGCCATGATCTTCGTTTTTTTGATGTTAAGCTTCAGACCATATTTTGCACTCTCCTCTTTCACCCTCAATAAAAGGTTCTTTAATTCCTCCTCACTTTCTGCCATCAAGGTTGTGTCATCTGCATATCTGAGGTTGTTGATATTTCTTCCGGCAATCTTAATTCCGGCTAGGGATTCATCCAGCCCAGCCTTTCGCTTCCAGCTCTACAATTCTATAATTCTATGTGCAGAAGACAGCAAACTTGTAGATCAATGTTATGGAAGTAAGCCACATGCACTTGTGATATTCAGTGTACGGATGCTGAAGATGCAAAACTGTAGAAGGAAGGCTGAGAGGAACATGGGCCTCCTGCTACTATGTACATGCTGGATACCAGCATCTGCAAAATGTTCAATGCTTTTTTTTTTCAGCCAGAGCACACAGTTCCAGCACTTCTCAGGTGGGCACCATTGTAGGTGGCACCCCCCGCCTGCTTCTTGCCTTTACGTACTTCTGAGAAGCCCAAAATGAACATTTCAAGTCAAAATGGAAGCTGGCCAGCATGTGTGAGTCTACACATTTTTTTAGGTCTATGACTCCACCTAGCTCCTAGCCACTCCTAGGTGTGATTGGCCAATTTGCATTTCCTTTTCTTTAATCCATTTCCTGTGTAGTGGCAGCAGGCTTTAAGCTTTCCGAAGGGTCTTTCTGAGCTGCCCTAGCTATCTGCCTGAATCTAAGAGAATGAGGGAGGCAGAGGTGCATCTATTTGATCTGCATCAAAACCAGGGGCGACCTCCAAACCAGCTAGGGAGGCAGCTTGTCATAGTTTTTAGCACCTCCACGGGTTGACAAACTGGCATCACTCAGTGACTTACTGTAAGAACTTCATGGTGAGTTCTGGCACCTATTTTTCTTGGGGGGAAAAGCACTGATAATGCTTAATAGTAAAAAAAAGTTGCTTAAAGATGCCAGACTATGGTGCTTGGCAGCTTACGCCTCAAAGCGAGAACTATGCCACTCCAGGCTCCCTACATGCAAGGGGAAGGGCTGTAGCTCAGTGGCAGAGAATCTGTCTTGTGTGCAGAAGGATGCAGGTTCAATCCCTGGCATCTCCAGGTAGGAAATGGAAAGACCCGTCTGAAATCCTGGATAGGCAGACAGTGCAGACCAGGAGTAGGCAACCTAAGGCCCGTGGGCCGGATGCGGCCCAATTGCCTTCTCAATCTGGCCCACGGACGGTTTGGGAATCAGCGTGTTTTTACATGAGTAGAATGTGTCCTTTTATTTAAAATGCATCTCTGGGTTATTTGTTGGGCCTGCCTGGTGGTTTTACATGAGTAGTGTGTGTGCTTTTATTTAAAATGCATCCCTGGGTTATTTCTGGGGCATAGGAATTTGTTCATATTTTTTTTCAAAATATAGTCCAGCGCACCACATGGTCTGAGAGATGGTGGACCGGCTCACGGCTGAAAAAGGTTGCTGACCCTGGTGTAGACAATAGTTTCCTCTGTTTTCCTATGGAAGTACAAGATCTACCTACTACTATCACCTTGAAGCAGAAATGTGGTTTGGAATATAATCCATATTTAGATCTGAAGACAAATGGTCATGGGGTCAGGTAAGAAATTTAAGAAGAAGGCAAAAATACAGTTCCTTGCTTCATTTCTACAAAACCTTCAAATCTTTCTAATGCCGTTGGCAAGGCCATGCATCACCAACTGATCCTTGAGATGAAACATTTCCCGTTTACACAATATTTAAGGTAAAGGGACCTCTGACAGTTAAGTCCAGAACGACTCTGGGGTTGTGGCGCTCACCTCTCTTTACAGGCCAAGGGAGCTGGTGTTTGTCCGCCCCGCAGAAAGTTTTTCCAGATCATGTGGCCAGCATGACTAAGCCGCTTCTGGCCAACAGAACACCGACATCAGAGCAGTGCACGGAAACGCCATTTACCTTCCCTCCGGTGTGGTACCTATTAATCTACTTGCACTTTTTGGCATGTTTTTGAACTGCTAGGTTGGCAGGAGCTGGGACCAAGCAATGGGACCTCACCCCATCACAGGGATTTGAACCGCGAACCTTTTGATCGGCAACCCCAAGGCTCAGTGGTTTAGACCACAGTGCTACCCGCATCCTACAATATTTACATCCATATAAATCACTCAGCATATGAATGGAAGGAGTTCCATAATCTAGAACTCATTACCCTTGTAGACTAATCATTTAGAAGTGAGCTCAAGGAACTATAGCCTAAACATGAACCCCAGCAATGAAGTTTGAGATGATGGTGGAGCGGGCGAGGCAGGGAGAGGAGAGAAGTTTGGCATGCTAAGCTGACAATTCACACCACTTCTTCATGCATTGCATGCACCCACTGTGATTCTTATTTATGCTACCTGCTATCCAATTAGCACCCTGTTAAGCTGCACACCTGCAAAGGTTTTATCCTTCACCTCCTGCCTAGTATGTCTGGACTGACCCCTCTACCCCTTTGACATTATAGGATGATGGATTCTCTTTTAAACCACATTGTCACCTGCTGCCATTTGCAGAGTAGGCTAATTGTCCCGAGCCCTTTAATCTTTATTGCCCTGAAAATCCTCCAGCACCAGGCCAGAACAAGTCAATTAGAGCAGCCCATTTGCAGAATCAAACGTTGGAGGAAGGGATGGGGGAAACCCTTTCACACTGGGAAGCAGAGGGGCTGGGAGAGACTGGTCTGACAGCTAGGTTTGCGTTTTAAGAAATCCATGCTTTCCAAAGGCAAAATGTCCAGCAGTCATCTGGTGGAAATTCAAGCAGCTGTTCAAATGTAAGTTTCTACGCATTTTGGTAGTGTACACTGAGTGCAAGAGTGAGTTAAAAACCGTAGGAAGACCTTCATTGTACATAACTTGCAGTTGTCTTTCCAAAGCGCCTAGATATGGCAGTCACTTGCAGTCACAGTTATCTCACTGGGGAATGACACCCGACTCAGCACTCAGTATGCTGTGTCCCAAGACTGGTGTATTTCCTTTCCTGCTTGCCCATCTTCCCAAACTGCTTTCAGTAGGTTGTCATCAGGCTTTCCAATGCAAACAATGTAATTGATAGAGAGGGAAGAGCTTCCTTTCCCCAAATTTCTAATCCACCACAGTCTTGCTACAGTTCACGCCAGCTCATATTAAGTTACATTTACTGACGCAACACGAGAACAGCACAGTGAAAAGCAAAATTACAAGCACTCTCTCTCCCTCTTTAAAAAAGGGACAGTTTTTGGGATTAGTTTTCAAACCGTTTTGATGCTTCTGCACTTCTGGATCACTTCTCAACCAACAGGGGACCCTAAAATCACATGTTTCTCTTCTGGTTGCTCAGATTCCCATTGACTGGATCCAATTGTTAGACATTATAGAGTAAATGAATACATCTTCTAAATAGTGATAGTGCATTATGAGACTTACATCCATGGTGGGAAACAGTTGTTTGGCAGCATTTAAGTAAATTACTTGCATCGGAACTTCTCCAATGTCTGAATTCTCATGGCTTTAATAAATACATTTTTAAAAGAAATGAATCCAAAAATCTGGATATGATTGAAATATCTGATATCAAGCTTCCATCTTTCTACCACTATTTACTATTACTGCCTTTTAATATAAATCCTACTTATAATTAAAATTGGATACATGTGTAGAATAAGATGTGCTAACAACAGCGTTGACTCAGTGATGGTAATGAAACATGCCAACCTCAGGGCTACTAGAATTGTGAAGGGATATTCCTTTTGCTTCTCTCTCTCTCTCTCTCTCTCTCTCGCTTGAGATCAGTTCCCTGGAACTCCCTCACCCTTTTCTTCTTTTAACTCAGCAGAATTGAAAAATTGCCTTGTGGACCTTTGCATTTACATTCAGGGGTATGTTGTATATAGGTATAGTTTGACTTGTGTCCGTATCTTATGATGTGCTCTGTGGTGAAAGCAGAATGTCCAGATTGCCATAGACAGTGTGTGGAACAGCTTGTTCCTTTGCCCAGATGCTAAGATGCCCACTTTATGAATACTGCATGAATCATTCATCCTACATTGGTGTCCTCACAAATATGGACGTGCCATATATATGTGTGTGTGTGTGTGTGTGTGTGCACGCACACACACACACACACACACAAATCCATCTGTGGGAAGCCGTATAAGGTTTTGTGACCAAGGAGCTTGGTTCAGTGCAGCTTGGAACTATGTCACCATTTTGTCCCTGCTCTGTGCAGTGTATGGTATGCTACAAAGCAATAGAGGACGCAACATTCATGCAAGCTAAATCCAGCAGGAGGAACATGGTGAGAAGATAGAAGCTTAACTGGTCCCTGGAACCTTTGCCATACTTAATGCAAACATACACTCTTATTGGGCCATGAGTTTCCCCCAAAGTTTTCTCCAGTAAGTGTATTCCACCAGTAGTTAATTGAACATGAGCAAACCTATTTAATAGTTTGGGTTTGCAGATGCATGTGCGCATTATAAAAATGAAACACACACACACACACTAAACTTAGGGAATGCAATCAAAATTTACATCTATTCACCCAAGCTATCATGATATTAATCTACGGTTAACATTGCCTGGTCTTGATCCTTCACAATTCCTTCCCTAAAGTGCATCTCCAAAACCTCTTGTTGACAATGACCTCTAACACTACTCAAAATTAAGAAAAAAGTCTGGCTCCAGATTCTGCTCCTAAAATTTATTATAGGTTTGCTAATAATACCCACACATGTGTCATCATCTGAATATTTAAAATGAATGTCCAAAGCAGATCAAGTATTAGACTAATAAAAGTTTTGAATGAAGGAGAAAGAAGAAAAGAAAAGAAAAGAAAAGAAAAGAAAAAAGAGATGTACATATGGATAGATAGATGAATACAGAAGCAGGAGGAGGGATTGCAAAAATTACTGTTGACAGATAGTGGTTTAGTCTACTGAAACCCAGTGACAACTGTAAGGAAGTTAAGAGGGTCCCTTAACCATGCCAGACACATGGGAAACTGCATGACAGGAACATTAGTAGAAAAATCTAATGTACAGTACTTCGCACTGGAAGGAAAGAATGCTGATCTGCTCATTCATTTGTAAGGCTTTCGTCTTAACACTAGTGATACTATTGGGAGTGCCGGAGAGAGAAATCTACCAGCTATCATTACTTTTATCAAAGTCTTCCTTTGGTCTTGCTTTTCTCTCTTTTTTTCCTCTTTAAGGTTATGGCTCCCCCACACTTGCCATTTGATTTCGTTTCATGTCTTCAGTGCTGCCGATCTTCTCTGTACTTCCCCTGTTATCACAGCTTTTAACTGGTTTCCTTTGCCATCCTATTAGGATCTAAGGATGGATGTGGGAGTCATAAAAAGAGAGGCCGTTTCAATTGCTGTGTGATTACTTAGGTGCTGAGGAGTGCATCACGGGATGCAATAGATTGGACTCTGATCATTACTTGGGGCCATTTGTCCTTCTTTATTGACATTTAGGGTAAGGACCAATGGGCGATTTTCCTTGATACTTCATTTTATTTGATATTAAATTTATTCACAGACTGTGTTTATAATGTGTATATAGCTGGGGTGGGTGGGTATAGAACCCTCAGGGCCAAATGTGGACCTTCAGGCCTCTCTATCTGGCTCTTGGGGATCTCTCGCTGGCTCTCACCAGCTGCCCTTTGCACCCTTCCTTGGGTGTTTTTGCCTGGCTGGAACTTCAACTCTGCTAATGGTCTTTTGTTTGCCTAGGTGGAGGATATAGAGGGATGTGTGCAGAAATAAGGCTACTGTGCAAATAATAAAAAATAAATAAATTTGTATACTGCCCTATACCCACAGGTATCAGGCTGGTTCTCAACATAAAATCTCAATACTGAAACACAAAATACATATTACAGTGGTACCTCGGGTTAAGAACTTAATTCGTTCTGGAGGTCTGTTCTTAACCTGAAACTATTCTTAACCTGAGGTACCACTTTAGCTAATGGGGCCTCCTGCTGCCGCCACGCTGCTGCTGCACGATTTCTGTTCTCATCCTGAAGCAAAGTTCTTAACCCGAGATACTATTTCTGGGTTAGCGGAGTCTGTAACCTGAAGCGTCTGTAACTTG